AGGTGAGGCCCGGGGGTCCCGGGAGGGGCGCGCGGCCGGCCGGGCCGGGCCCCGCGGGCCGCGGAGTCTGCGCGAGGGAGGCCGAGGGCGGGAGGCGTTCGCTCCCTGCAAGTTGGGCGGGCGCGGCAGGCCGGGCGGGCGGGGACCGCGCCGCGGCGGGTCGCCGGGTCCGGGTGGAGGGCGGGATCCGCGGGGGCGCGCGGGGCCGCGAGGCAGCGCTGCGGCGGGGCGCCCGCGGGAGCGTGGGAGAGGAAGGGCCTCCGGGCTGCAGACGGCGCGCTCCGCTCTGCGGGGGTGACACTCGGGCGGCTGAGGCGCCGCTGGAGCCCGAGGCCCCGGAAGGTCTCACCCGGGCAGGGCGCCCCGGCCCCGGCGACGAGGTCGCTGCAGCCTGTGCAGGGCGGCTCCGGGGAATCCCCGCGCCTCCTCTCCGGAGTTTCTCCGCCGACCGGGTGCTGTGCAACAGGTATTTAGTGAGCGCGTCTGTTGCGTCTCCCTGATTCAACGTGGCCTTGCTTTTCGGGGGATAAACTGAGGAAGGAAAAGGCCTCGATGCGGAAACCGAGAGGCGCTGACATCTTACGGGACTTTGAAAGGCAGCCGGGGACCTGGCTTTCGGGAATGATCGAAGCTCTTACCCGATGTCTCCTCCTCACCTGAGTTCCGCTCTCAGTGTCCACGCATTCATCTTCATTCTCCTTTCCCTCAGCCGCAAAGACGTCTGTAGGCTCTGATCTCACACCGACCCTGCCCTGCAGTTCTCTGCTCAGTTCTCTGCTGCCTCCGCTTTCCAGCTCTTCCCAGCCTCCTGTTACCACACACATCCCCCCCCCCCCCCCCCCCCCCTGTCTTCCCTCTTTCCCCCCCCCCCCCCCCCCGTCTCCTCCCCTCAGCCTGTATCTCCAGCCTTGGTGTCAGAAACTGCTTTAGACTTGCCAAGTTTGATAGCCTTTTTCCAAGCCTCTGTAGCTTCGAGATGCAGCCTTCCCGATGATGGAGATGATTAAAGGGCTGGGAGCATGTGCACACGCGCGTGAACATGCAGGTTCTGGTGTGTCAACATCTTTATCTCTTGGAGACAAAATAACTGCCCTCAGCCTTGAGAAGGCCGTAGTCGAAGCCGGCAGAATGAAGGGAGTGGGTGACATTGTGGTTTGGCAGGGGAAGCAGCCCGTAGCAGACAGCTTCGGGTGACTAGCGAGAAAGGCCGTGGGAAATCAAGACTACCCCACCTCCTAGGTGCTCAACCAGAGTCCAGCCTGGGAGCTGGGTACTAGCCTGAAGGCCCCTATCCCCTGGCACTTACTGGTTCCAGCCGGTGGGGAGAATGGGGTGGGTCATTTGGTGTGAAAGGAAAAGGAGGGGCAAAGGCAGGATTGTGGCGGGGAACTGCAGCTGGTCTGACTTCAGTCTCGACCCTCTTCCTGGCTGCCTTGCGGGGACTGCAGTGGTTGGGTATCGGTATTTGCTGTCAGAGCCTTGACTGAGAGTTCCGCCGACTTCTTTCAGCATCCCTGATGTTTCTTTCCTTCCTACCGAGGACTCTGCCCCCCTCCCTCTGAGGAATGTCTCCGGAGTCTGGCTTAGTCTGCCCTGGCCCGGTAACAGGGTAACAGCGCGCCTTCCTCAGCCTTTGGATTACATGCTCGGCATTTAGTCTCTACCTCACCCACTCTCCTGTATTAACGTCTCTCCGTGAGAATAAAAGAAGTGGAGGGGAGCAAAGGCTGCATTTGGGGGATCTTCAAGCACAGCTAAATTTAAGAGCTAGGCTCTTTCCCTTTCCTATCCTCTTACCAGCCCACAGTTGTCCCTCTCCCATCAATTGTTTCTTCCTCTAGTCCTGCCCTTCTCCACCTGTCTTTCCTACTCTCATTTCTGGGAGGTACAGAGGTTTGGCCCCACGGAGGAAATCCAAGGGATCTGTATTAAATCCTAGCTCAGGAAAGGATGTGCACACAGCACATTTTCTCAGCATCACAGCTCAACAAAAATCCTCAGGAGCCCTGATTCTTAGCTGGACGAACCAGTACTTAATTTAGTATCCTGTATAACTAAGCAACCCTCGGGGCTCTGAGGGCAAAGAGAGGATGGAAGTGACTTAGGCAAGGTCTGGCCCCATTGGAAATTTGAGCTAACTGCAAGAAGAGTCTGACCAGGATGGGAGGGATCTAGACGGGAAAATAGCGTTTGTGGGGTGGAGGGGCCGTGGAGGCCGAGGTGGAGGCCTTGTTCAGAAGTGTGGTAACATGAGAAGTGGCAGGGCGCAGTGCTGCGTGGCACGCTTAGCAATCTGGGCTGTGGAGAGCTGCTTCAGGGGAGACGTTAAGGCAGATGAGGTGCCTGATAGGAGCTTAATAGGGGGTTATGAGCTGGAAGATATGAGAGGCTGTGGTTATACCAGCAGCCAAGAAGATACTGGGTGATAGTAGCTGGAGGACTCCTGGGCACAAGCTAAAAACCTCTTCCCTTTGTGTGCAGTGTCGTCGGTCCATTAGAGGTAAGGTTTGTAGGGGTCTGTGAGAAGACCGTCAGAGGGAAACCAAAGACAAAGCCTGGGCCACCTCGCCAGATCACACTGGTTTTCCTGTCCAGGGTCCAGCTTCCTCTTTTGTCCTCATCTCACATGGGGGGAGGGCATGACTCCAGGAGCTAAAGACCAGGAGGAGCTTCTCAGCTAGGGCAGGACCAGGTAGCCGGCTATCCGGCAGCACACTGGTAGTGCTGAGCTATGAGTGCTACAAGAAGGACCAGAGCTGGGGAGGCTGGAGAACTTAAAAGCAAAAGATGCAGACACATGGCAACCTGACTCTTTCCGCCCTTTTCTGTATTTCTTTTAGATTTGTTTGTGTATATGGGTGTTTTCTTTGTGTGTATGTGTACCACAGCCATGCCCGGTGCCATGGAGGGTGTCGGATCTCCTGGAACTGGAACTCTGTGGACCTTTGAGCCACCCTGTGGGTCCTGGGAACCAAATCTTGGTCCTCTGAAAGAACAGGTGCTCTTAAACCCACCAAACCATCTTTCCGGCCTTCTGGCCCATTCCTTAAAGGAGCAAACCATGATACAGTCATTTTTGAATGAAGTCAAAGGTCAGAAGAAAGGTCTTCACCTTCTCTGCTATGTGAGACTAACATCAGGCCAGAGGTTAAGAGATCCAGGTCCTCAACTTGGATTTGCAACTATTTTTATCACCGTAGTCTACTAGGTATCTCTTATCTCAACAGTTAGTTTGCAGCCAGGCTTGGGAGGCGGAAGCCAGCCTGGACTATGGATCAAGTTCCAGGCCACCCAGAGTGACATAGTGAGACCCTGTCTCAAAAACAAACAAACAAACAAAAAACAGCTTGTATTTTCAGTACTTCCAAAGGGCACAATGAACACTGACAGGTTTGGCTGTCCCTCATTTAAGAGAAATAGCAGTGCCTCAGAGTCAGCCGTCCAGTCTCACCAGCTTTGATCTGTCCAGGGCAGAATCGTCGCACTTTGCTCAAAGTACGAAGATCAATATAGGTTGAGAGATAGGAAGGCAGTAGCGTGGGGTTCTGTCGCAGGACTCCAGGATGGGGGTGTAGACCTTGTCCTCTGCTCAGCTCTGTGACCAGAGGCAGTGGGGAATAGATACGGAGTTTCCTCCCTGGTGGTTTTTCCCTTGTGGAAACCCCCCTAGACTTTGGGTGGCACAGACTGGGAAGCCCTGGGTTTCCCTTTGTTTTTAAGTCGGGGAGGCAGGATTGCAAGGTTGGCACTTACAGCCCCGAGTGAAGTGAGCAAAAGCAAAGGAAGTGCCACTTCACAGGCCTTGCATGGGGCCCAGAGATTGCTGAGCTCTGCTAGGCGGGGAGAAGTAAGCCAGTGTGTGAGCCTTCCTCTGTGCTGCAGGGTGGGGGAGGGGCAGCTTGGCTCCTCAGGCTGGAGCTGTCCTGTCTCTGGGGCTCACCCTTTGTGGGTCTCTGGGATGAGCATGGGACAGGCTGACTGGAGCTGTCTCAAGCGTCTGGATCCCTCTCAGCTACAACTGTCACGTTTCTTCCTCTGCAGTCAATCCCTGCCCTAGTGAGTAGCATCACCTCTCTCGCCCTTCCTACAGTGCAGAATCTTCTACAGACGGAGAATGATAAAAAGAGGGAGTCCTTGAGTCTTCAGTATGAGGGATTTTGTTTGTTTTTCAGGACAGGGTTTCTCTGCGTAGCCCTGGCTGTCCTGGAACTCACTCTGTAGACGAGGCTGACCTCTGGACTCAAGTGCCTCTGTTTCCTGAGTGGTGGGAATAAAGGCTTGTGCCACTATGCCAGCTCAGACTTTTTTTTTTTTTTTTTTTTAAGGCTGACAACTAGGTTCTTTTGGGCTCTTCCCTGCTGATGCTGAGAAGGGGAAGAAAGAGTCTCAGCCTTTGGCCTGATCCCAGTCCCACACTGACCTCATGTCTCCCCTTGCTTCCTCCTCCCAGCCCAGCTGCAGCCAGCTGCAGCCCTAGTGTGAGCCTCCTGGTGTCACCTCTCCTGTCTTCCCTGCAGAACAAACAAACAAACAAACTTGCAGTGCCCTGGCCCTGGCCTGGCTATCAATGGCCAAAGGTCTTCAGCTATTCCAGTCTAATCCTTAACCTGTCTTGTACTCTTTCTTCTCATTTTCTTCAGCCCCTTTGAGTTACCATTGCTTGACCTCTCACTCTTTCAGCTGAGGACAGAGCAATCTAGTTTGTGTGTTTACTACCCTAACTTTCTGTTTCTCCGGGTGAGAAAGGAATTAGCTACCTTCATCCAGTGTCTCTTGGGCATGGAAGCTTTCTTTTTCCCAGTGTCAATGTCAGAATTGATGGGGGAGGGGAGGGGGTTACTCTGCAACTTTTGCTCAGCCTTGTGCTGGGCTTCTGCTTCCCTGTCCACAGATCATCCAGTAGTAGTTCAGAACAGTAAGTACTGGGAAAGGTAAAAGGAGGGAGCTATGTTAGCCCAGAGAAGTGCAAAACAGAACTGAGCCCAGTGGACAGAACAATCTGGAGGGTGCACAGCATTCATGGAGCGAGCGAGCTGTTGTGTGCACAGATGGACAGATTGAGCTCATTGTTTTGTTTTGTTTTTTACTGACAGCCACGTGTGCTGGACTCAGCCAGCGAGTCAGAAATCAGGCAGAACTTTGCCTTCTAGGCTTTCCCAGGGTTGGGACTAGAGATAAGATTCAGACCAGCCTCTGTATGAAACAGAGTGCCATCGGTGAAGTGGCTTGTGACTTGGATTCGTGACTTGGTAGGGAGGGTTGTGTTAGAGATTTGGCTTAGCAGGCTGTAGAGTTACACTTAACCCATCTATGGAGCCTATGCTGCCCCTCCCCCACTCCCAGTTGGGACACTTCCCCTGCTCTAACTGCCGCACAGATCAGGCAATCAGGCAAACATCAGTACTTCCTTTTCCTCCCCCTTCTGGGCCTGGGACACACCCCAAGGCCAGAGCCCCGCTGGATACAAGTTTAAGTTCAGGGACCATACTTAGCCCGAGAGGCTCCAGCCCCCTGCCCCATGAGCTGTGTTCCCATACCAAACCTTCTAGAGCCATTTCAAACCAATTAGCAAGGTTTTTTGGTTGTCATTATTCTCCACAAAAGCTCAGCCTTGTAGCATTGTAGGAGGCCCATCCTACTCTTCGTGATAAGGCTGGCCCAGCAGACGAGAGGGCAGGGTGCACACTCCTGTGTGCCTCAGCCTCTCTCACTCACAGCTCTTCTGTGGTTACGTCACAGAAATCAGCCTGCTATTCAGGGGCATCTATCACTTACATACAGAGGGGACTCACACATGGGGCCAAAGCATGGTTGGAAAGAGGTGACAAAGCTATAGAAATGCAAAGAATTCTGTAGCTTAGTGGAACGGCGAGACTTCTGCTAGGCCTCAAGAATCCAGAAGATTTGAGAGGGGAAAGGGAATAGCAACAGAAAGAAAAACAAGCATAAAATCTGAGGTACAAGGATAAGCACTTGATGTGGTTCTGCTTTAATCCCAGCATTTGGGAGGCAGAGGCAAGTGGATCTCTGAGTTCAAGTCCAGCCTGATCTGCATACCAACAAATTCCAAGCTAGCCAGGCTACACAATGAAACCCTGCCTCAAAAAAAGAAAAGAATGACTGAGATTTGCTTTACAGACAACATTGCAAACCCTTTGGATTAAGGAGTGAGGAAGTCATGCTAAGAACCTATATCGTGCATATATTGTATATTAATGCATTTAACCTTTATAGCCACCCTGTGAAACAGTACTGTTGTAGCAAAAATGGGGGGTTAGAGAATTGAAGATTACAGAGGCAGTTCATCCTGAGTCTAGGGTCACACAACTGATAAATGGTAGAAAACAGATTTAAATCCAGGTCTGTATAATTCTAAACTCCTTCTTATGTTATGATCATATTTGAATGACAAAGCAAGAGTCCAAGCATGATCCAAATGTATTAAATTGGTTATAAAAACCTACAACAAGTTGTTGTCATTGGCTAACATACAGATCTTCAGATATGTATTTACTAAACCAAGTTCTTTGTTTTGTTTTTATTACCAAGCTGGGCCTTTACACATGCTAGGCAAGTACAGTACCACTAAACCACTTTGCCAGTAAAGTTTTTTGTTTTTTTTGTTTGTTTGTTTGTTTGTTTTTTTTAAGTTATATTTAAAATCTAATCCTATTTTCTGGTTTGGCATCTTGCAGCACTGACGATCTTTTCTTCCTGTTTGTCGTAAGTTAGATCCCATGTGTAGAGTTTAAGTAGTTAAAGGAAACTTATTTGACCCTCTTCAGCCAAGAAATTTCAGGGAAAAGAACTGGCGGGCAGCAGGAGATGGAGCTTAATGGTAGAGCACTTGTCCAGCCCGTGTGAGCCTCTAGGTTCGACCCTCAGTTAATGCTAACAACAAAAAAGATAATAGTAAAGTGTTGGGAGAGGGTGAAGGCTGAACTGGGAGTAAAGAACTGGAGGGGTGAGCATCACCATGCTTAGTGACTGGGGGTGAGAGTCTTTGCTTTGCTCGCTGCCTGTCTGCACTGTGCACGTGAGAGTTTACAGAGTATATTTCACTGTCATGCAGCATCCCCATGAGTCCAGGAAGCCAAGGGTTATGACTCTTGCTGTACAGATGAAGAAACTGAGGCTGTGGTAAAGGAAATGACTAATTTGCTCAAGGCCCCACAGTTATCTGGGAGCCATGTGATACAAGGAAGAAAACTTAGACTTTGGAGCACAGAGCTAAGTTTGTGCCCTGGCCACCATGTCCTCACATCAGCAGTGTGAGGCTGGATTACTTGAACAGTTCCATGTTTGGCTTCTTTGTTTGTAAAATAGAAGTCCTACCAGTAGGTTGTTAGGAGGATCAACTAACATGGTACCGTGGCATCTATAAAGACTTTACCATATGGAGCTGTTTTATTGAGGGTCAAGATCAGAAAGGGAGCTTAGTAGGTCGACTCAGGTATCTGGTGCTCTTGATCATGTGCCACACCTTGTTTTGGACACTAACTCATTCATAATCCTTTTCTGGTGTCAGGCCCTCTTCCCTTGCCAGCCCGGAAGCTGCTCTCTCCCCACTCCTTTGAGGGCTGATTTACTGATTGCTGGTTGATAACCACCTCCCTAGAGAGCCTGTTGTACTTCAGTCTCTTGGGCCTTGTGACTGCTGGCCAGTTCCCTCCCGGCCTTCTTGCCTGTGTCGCCCGTTGCTGCACTAGAGGGGGGTCTTAGTCTTCCTGCCACTTCATCCCCTTCTGTGCAGATGTGCACATCTCAGGCCCAGGAGTTCTGCTATGAAATGCCAGGACTCAGATAATGCAGTGGACACAGCTAAGTTAGGATACAAGAAAACAGATTTCACTATGAAGTCTTCCTGTGTATATGCCATATTTATCATTATACTTTGCTCATAGTCACCCCCATTCTCCTCTCGTCAACCCTCTTCTCTCCACATGGATGTCCTTCCTCTTCCCAAATAGTTCCCCTTCTGCTTTCGTGTCACACAAGCACACACTTAGCTCACATATATTTAAATTTAGATTTCACATATGAAAGAAAACATGCAATATCTTTTCTCCTATAAGCCCAAGTCTTTTTTGCTTAGTTTTGTTTTGAGACAGTGTTTTATTAAGTACCTATGGCTGGCCTAGAACTCACTAAGTAGACCAGGTTGGTCCCAAACTTGCATAATCCTCCTGCCTGTGCTGCCTGAGTGCTGGGATTACTGGTAAGCACAGCACACCCAGCTTGTTTTGTTTCTTCGCCTATTGCCTTTGTCATAGACTTCTTAAGATTTATTTTTTAATTATGTGTGTCTGCGGTATGTTTTTGCACATGAGTGCCAGTGCCCTCAGGCCAGAGGCACAGGTTTCCCTAGAGCTGCAGTGGCAGGCAGTTGTGGAGTTGCTCAAAGAGGGTAGGTGCTGCTAGCAAAGCAGCCCCTGCTCTCAACTGCTGAGCCATCTCTATCATAGACCTTTTACCTTCATTTCCTGAAAAGAGAAACTGAGGCCCAGAGGAGTAAGTGTCTCGTGCTTGGCCTCAGTGAGTCAGAGAGCTGGGGTAGAACTTAGATCTCTGGTCTTCCAGTCTGAGGTTCTCTTGCCCTCGAGGGCCTTTATTTACTGCCCACTCTGAGGGCCTGTCTGACCATCCTGAGGTTGAACACATTCAGGTCAGGTGGAAATCCTGTTAGTGGGAACCTGAGAGGTCACCTCATCCGGTAGTGCCATGTCCTTCCTGGCTGCTGCCAGAAGCTGCACCTGGGAGAGAAGCAGTGCCAGGGCTTGGGTCCATTGCAGCCCAGCAGCACCAGGGTACCTTCAGGGGTTCCCCCACTATCATCATGCGTATGCCTTTGAGTTCTGAGGCTCTGGAGCAAATTTGACAAAGCAGACTAATGAGAGGAGTCCAAACGTAGTAGATGATCCGGCAGATCCCCATACTGAGGAAGAGCACACTTAGTGTCTGCTGGCCCCGACACTCCTCAGATGACTCCACAAAATAGAAGCAGGACATTGTCAATTTTTCCGATGCCATAGTCATCCCGATACCCAGATGGCACAAGTACCCAACAAAGAAAGAATTTCAGACTCAACAATATTTTCTCTCATGATCATTGAGGAAAATGCTCAATAAAATACTCTCAAGCTGAATCCAAGAACACATCAAAAAGGACGTCCACCATGATCACGTAGGCGCCATCACAGTGAAACATTTAAGTGTAATAAGCTAATCCATAAGTAGATCTTATCGCCATTTGGCAGGCAAAAAAAAAAATCAACTAAGGTCTAGAGAAGTGGCTTGTCCATTGTCATTGCTAGAAACAGTAGTTGAACCGGGCTTTGACCGTCGGCTGATACCAGAGTTCGTTCATACAATGCTGCAGCTTTCTAACATCTTGCTCAGTACACCTCCTTGTTGGGCCGTTGTTCGAGACAGGGTCTTCGTCTTTTCTTCTCCATGGTACAGGTCTTCTAAATCAAGAATGCCCCTCTCATCTCTCTGCAGGTCACGACTTCCGGTGGGGTCCAGAAGAGGGAGGAGGCGCTGCCTCCGCTGCGGCCGCTCTCCACACAATGCAGAGCATCAAGTGTGTGGTGGTGGGCGACGGGGCTGTGGGCAAGACCTGCCTTCTCATCTGCTACACGACTAACGCCTTCCCCAAGGAGTACATCCCCACCGTGTTTGACAATTACAGCGCCCAGAGTGCGGTCGACGGGCGCACAGTGAACCTGAACCTGTGGGACACTGCGGGCCAGGAGGAGTATGACCGCCTCCGCACCCTTTCCTACCCTCAGACCAACGTCTTCGTCATCTGTTTCTCCATTGCCAGTCCACCCTCCTATGAGAACGTGAGGCACAAGTGGCATCCAGAGGTGTGTCACCACTGCCCTGACGTGCCCATCCTCCTGGTGGGCACCAAGAAGGACCTGAGAGCCCAGCCTGATACCCTACGGCGCCTCAAGGAGCAGGGCCAAGCGCCCATCACACCGCAGCAGGGCCAGGCACTGGCCAAGCAGATCCATGCTGTGCGCTACCTCGAGTGCTCGGCGCTGCAGCAGGACGGCGTCAAGGAGGTGTTTGCGGAGGCCGTCCGGGCAGTGCTCAACCCAACACCGATCAAGCGTGGGCGGTCCTGCGTCCTCTTGTGACCCTGGCACTCGGTCTGGATGCTGTCCCTTGTCCCCCACCAATAGTGCCTTGGCGCCTTGTCTGCCCCCAGCTGTGCCTTAAGGACTAATTCTGGCACCCCTTGCCAGGGGACTCCCTGAATGCCTTTTTTCCCTTCAGGAGGTACACAGGGAAAGGGGCTTTGGGCCCCACCCCACCCTGCTTAGGAATACCAAGTATTCCATGAGTTCACCTAAGCAAGGCTGACCTTTCCAAGAGGCCAACCCCGTGCTCCCCTCCATTCCCGCTACTGACCAGTTCTTCCAGCTTCCCACACAGCTGCTGCTGCCTATTGTGGTGCCTCCTCTCAGGACAGGGGCTCTGACCTCTCTGCCTTGCTCTTGGAGTAGGCTCTCCAAGATGTTCTTTCCCTCCCCCAAGGAAGGAGCCACAGAATCCTGAGAAGAAAAATGTACCCTAACCTGCCCTATGTGCCCAGGCCTTATGCATCTGCTGACTGACTCAGGCCCCGTGCTCCTGGGGGCCTTTCCTACCCCCATCAGCATCAATAAAACCTCCTGTCTCCAGTGGCCCCGGCTCCTCCCTGTGTGCTGGGCATTAGCGGGTGGGCATGAGCTAGGGCTCCCCAGAGACTGGGGACCTTTGTTTCCTCTATGAGGGGACAGAAGACAGTAGGCTGCATTGTGGTTCTCTACCACCACCCCTCAATTTCCCTAACAAAGCTCTGGGACCCAGCCATAGATGCAGTAGTGGACTAGGATGCAAAGCTTGGGGAACACTTCCTGATCTCGGGCTCCAAAAGGAAAAGGTTTGACACCAGCCTGAGGGCAGGTGCTTGCAGTCACGCGTCTGATCTGTCCCCTCATACCTCCAAGGGGACAGGTCTTTACTGGCAGAATTATAGTCAGAACCAGGCCTCTGCTTCAACGGAGGACGCCTACATAGGCCAGCTTCCAGGCTGTGTCATTTCCGAAGTAGTTCATGCACAAAATGGAGGCTGAGGCCAGGCTTAGGGAACACCGGACAGAGGGAGTGAGGGAGACACCAGATGAAGCAATGAGCTGCTGAGGACGTAGATCCTCCCTTCTGGACCCCGTTCCTCACCTCAGTTCCCACGCAGAAATGAACCCCCAGACTAACACCTACCCCAGACTGTTGGCAAAGAAAAAAAAATTTATTGTCCTTTGAAATAAAATACACAAATAAAAGCTGGGTATCTGGGACAGTAGAGAAGATGAAAGAAAATCAAGGAACCCATTCTGGAGTAGGGAAATCTACCTCTGCCCCCTTCCCTCTTGTCAAAGGAGGGGAAGGTCGTAAAAGTCTGTGATTTTAGGGCTCTTTGATTATTTTTTTTTTCCTGAGACAAGGTCTTGCTATATAGCCCTGGCTGGCCTGGAACTCACAGGTAATTGCCTGCCTCTGCTGTGCTGGGATTAAAGGCATCTTTAAGATGCCTGGAATCCTATTTCGCTTTTGAGACCAGGGCTCCCTGTGTAACCCAGATTGGCATGGATCTTTAGCAGTCCACCCATCTCAGCCTCCAAGGTGCTGGAGTTACAGGCATACTCCAGTATGTCAAAAAGCCAGTGGCTCTATGTGGGAAGGAAAGCACAGCCTACGCTGGATGCTTTTTCTGGGACAAGTTACCTGTCAAGTACAGAGCACTACTTCCATTGGCTGACCTCCAAGACAAAAGCCCTTGGAGATCATACAACATACTTCCCGGTCATACACAGGATCACAAAGAGGCTGATGGGGAAGGGGGTACACCCAGAACACCTGGGCAGGATTCTCCTGCCGCCACTCTGGGTGGGCACAGTAGATCACCAGACACCAGTCAAATGAATGACCTAGAGAAAAACGGCTGTGGGCTCCTGCTCGCAGCCACCGCTCTGGTTCCTAACCCTAGTGAAGTCTCTAGATAAGGTCAAAAACTAGATAACGGTCATGGACCTCGGGACTTTAGCACCAAGTGGTGGAGCTTCCCTGCCAGCCCAGTTTTTAGGACCTTTCAGTTAACGGTGATGCTTCCTGAAGATCTCTGCAAGGGCTGGGGAGAAGTCAGAAGTGTTGGGGTCAGCCTTGTCATACCCCATGCTGCTCTTCTCACCCAGTCCCCAGCTTGAGAAGGGCCAGGAGGACATGGAGAGAGGGAGGCCAGAGCAGTGTCTTGTCTCTGGGCGGTGGGCCGCCTCTTCCCAGCATGAGAGGGTTTAGAACCTCTTCTCCTCAGGCTGAGAGGTTATCAGCAGCTCCTTGTTCCCGAAGTCCCACCAGGCCGTCATGTGGAACGCCATGTTGGTTAGGACAACAGTGTATTCCAGGATGGCAAAGATGGTGTAGACTGTTAGCAAGACAAAAAACGGTGTGATGAGCCTCCTGTTCCACCCTCCTAGTGGCTTAAATCATCACATTACCAGCCCCCCACAAAGAACGCAGTGACAGCCAGCACCCAAGACCAATGCCCACTACCAAACCACACAGCTGCTCTAAAGTCACATACTCACAGACCCGGCCTGTCCTCACCTCCAGCCTCACAGTACATGTTGTGCCGGAAGTAGACAGCCAACGCCGAGAAGAAGGAGATGAAGTTGATGACGAAGAGCCGCTGTTTCCAGCTGTAGGACTTGCGATCCTAGAGGACAGGCTATCTGATCGCTCTGTGGCATGTTGGGTAAATGTGGGTGGGCTTCCCTCTTAGACTCGGTCCCTAAAGGCTGGGACTGCCCCCCTGGTTCCCAAAGTGGTCACGGAAGGGGGAGTACAGGCAGGGGCAGCAAAAATGATGAGCATCTGTGCATTTGCGGGAGTGGGGGTAGGGGTGTTGGGGAACAGGGCTATCCCTTGCTCTTCCCAGCTGAGGATGAAGCAGTAAATATGCAGGGGCTTTCCCCACCAACCCGGCACTTTCTGGTATTGTGGGGCAGAGAAAGGCCACACGTGTAGGTGTGGTTACTGACGGTATTTCTAACCCACTGGGCCTGGCTGCTACCCTTGATTTTTGGCCCCACTTCCAGCCTCTATGCCTTCTCCAGTACTACCCAAATGTTTGATGAGATCAAGTGTGAGTCAGTCATTCTCCACTTCTCTCCAGGACTCAGCCCAAAGCCCCATTCCTGTCTGCTAGGCTGGTATCAGAAAGCCCATTGTTACCCATCAGTACCCACATCCTGAGGATGGACGCCCTTGATTTTCTTCTGGGCCTCCTAGTGCCCGGTAGGGGTAGACCGTACCTCCTGACTTACTGTGTGCTTCTTGGTCAGCCGCCAGAGAACGCAGGTGAGGAGCATGTAACCGAGGGACGCCGCAATAAAGACAATGAAAGCATTTTCGTGGATGGCTGGAGGGAGAGCGCACGGACACCACCCTCACCCTCAGGCAGGGTGGAGGGCTGCGCCCCTTCCCGAGCCCACCACCCCTCCCTTCTCCGGGAACCCACTGAAGTCCTCAGAGGAGGAGACGTAGGTGAGCACGAGCAGCGCCAGGTTCTCCACCACGTTGAGACTGAAGTTGAGGCGGCAGAGAAGGCGGTAACCCGGACATGGGGATGCACAGCTGAGGTAGTGGTTCCAATAGGCGAAGGCCGCCAAGAAGCGGGGTGCCGAGTGCAGGCCAATGCAGAAGCGCCACACGTAACGCTGGGGAACCTCCCCACCAATGGCAGAGCTCACTGATGGCAGGTAATTGGGCACCTAGAGAGTTAACCCCGGAGTCTAGGCATCTCCTTTACGGGTCCTGCCCACCAGGAGAGCCTCCACCCCATTTACCAAAGCCACCCCTTCTCTTCCAAGTTCTGCTGCTGCTGCCCTCCCACACCTTCCACTTTTAGGTCCCAGGACTGACCTACTCATTCCCCAGTCTGTCTAGGAGTTAGACAAAAGTGACCTCTATCTTCCTTGAAACTGGAACCTGCACGTTTGGGCAGGCTGTCCCTATGCTGACACCTCGGGCTGTGCCTGAATAAGGCTCTGTAGGCATCTCAGGATCCCAGGTTTGAGTCCCAAAGACTAGGATGAGTCACAGACCTCCCGCTGAGCTGTTCCTCTCACTGCCTCAGCTCCACTCCTTCCCCTAGGTGGGCGCAGCACTGTGTAGAGGGCGCTGTGAGAGCCTGAGGTGAGGCAGGGTTCCAGGCACTCTCTACCCTGTGTACCCCACAGGGTCAGGTATAAGAGGGAGCTCTAGCCTGCCGGTGGTGCACGCCTGTGATCCCAGCACTCAGGGAGGCAGAGGCAGGCAGAGCTCTGTGAGTTCAAGGCCAGCCTGGTCTACAGCGAGTCCTAGGACAGCCAGGGCTACACACAGAGAAACCCTGTCTCTGAAAGAAAAGAAAAAGAAAAAGATGAATATTCTGATATACTCTAATATGTCCCTGCGGGGTGTAGTGGTGCACACCTTTGATCTCAGCAGAGACAGAGGCAGGCAGATCTCTCTAAGTTCCAGGCCAGCCAGGGCACCAAGAAACCTGTCTAAAAGACAAAGAGGAAAATGACCCTGTCCCAGGTGCACCCCTTCTGTCCACCCTTCTCAGTGCCTGGAAGTCCTCATTCTGTGAGGAGCTGTGCTCTCTGTGAGGAGCTTGATGAGAGAGGGAAAGGCACTATTCACAGAGCTGCAAGGACTGGTGCTGTGTGCTGACAGGCAAAAGGATGGGGCCAAGTGAACAGCGGCATAGTTGGGGGAGGAAAAGGATCTCGTGCAAGACTGTGCTTTGCCAACTTTGACGTACATAAACTCACTGGAAACCTAGTGGCATGCAGGTCTGGAAGGTGAGAGTCCCTTCTGTAAAAGATCCCAGTACCAGAAGCTGCCAGCCCACGGCCTACACTTTCCACAGACACTTTCCCACTTAACGGCCAGGACAGCGCAGAGTCCAGCAACTAGGCACCTCTGCTCTAAGTATGTAGGGTTCATGTTTTAGATCTCCAGAAACAGAGTTTTCTTCCAGTGCAGATGCCAAATGAGCCTCTGGACTGCTGGTACACTGGGCAATGCAGGAGGAAGCTCCCAGCGCTTGGGGTAGGTCATCCAGGGACTTCACAGCCATCAGAGCCAGAGGAAGCTAAGTGCCGAGTTCTCAGAGATGCTGCTCTCAAAGCTGGCTCTGCCTCCCAGCTCTGCCTTTATCAGCGAGGTGACCCTGGCAAGGCCTCTCTGACCTCTCTGAGCTCCAATGTCCTCACTGGTAATATGGTTATAATGTCGCCTATGTTATAGGGGGATTTGTTTAATTTTGATTAACTACAACAAGCCCCCGTTGGCCTGGTACTTACTGTGTAGATCAAGTCTGCCTTGAACTCACACAAATCCACCTCAGAGTGCTGAAATTAAAAGCCTGGGTTCCAGCACACCTGGCTTTGTAGGGTGACAGAGCACCCGCCGTGTTGGGCACACAGTGGGTATAAAAGTGATGGTTTTCTTGAAAAATATGAGGAAAGGCTATAAGTCACAGGGCTACTGAGTATCAGAAAAGCACTTACAGGGGGAAGGCAGAACACTAGCAGTGGGTGAGACCTCCTCTCTTGCCGTTATAGCCTCTCTGATGCCCTGAGTTGGGTGACTAAGTGCTGCCTTCCTGGAACTGCATTCTGAAGACTACTTCCCAATCTCAGCTACTTTGTGTATGTGGGGGGGAGGGGGGCAGGACCCGTATCTGAAGCCTGCTGGGAAAGCTCAAGCACTGGGTGGTGGCCCCTGACTCAGAGGAAGAGAAAGCTAGTGAGGGTCAGGCTGTCTTCACAAACTTCTTTCAGATTAAAGGTGCAGTATTTTGAGAGCAGGGACTGTCTCATCCATCACATACAAACATACACATATAATCACGGAAATACTTCCACTTTCTTCTCCAGCAATTCAGTTTCCCTAATTCACTAAGTGTGCCAACAACCTCATACACTAAGACACCAGATATACAAAGTTCACTCGAAACATCCCCATAAACCCAGAGCTAAAAGCACTGATGGGCAAAGAACCCTGTTCTATAGGGAAGTAGATCAGAAGCTCACAGAGGGAAAGATTAAAAAAATCCCCTAACCAGGAACTGGAAAGATAGCTAAGTAAAATGTTTGCTGTGCAAGCATTAGAACCCAAGCTTGAGCCCTAGGACCCAGGTAAAAAAGCCAGGCACAATGGCATGTCTTGTAATTCCAGTGCTGGGGAGGAAAAGATAGGGAGGTCCTTGAGGCTCACTGGCCAGCTAGCCTAGCTAAATGAGACTGTCCTAAAAAGCAAAGTGGATGGCTCCTGAAACACGTCAACTCAAGATTGTCCTCTGTCACCCACAAACACTCCTTATCATTTCATATCATTAACGAATAATTCTTAGGCTGGAGAGATGGCTCAGAGGTTATGAGCACTGATTGCCCTTCCAGAGGTCTTGAGTTCAATTCCTGGCAACCACATAGTGGCTCACAACCATCTATAATGAGATCTGGTGCCCTCTGCTGACATGCAGGAAGAACAGTGTATACATAATAAATAAATAAAAATGTAAAATGATAATAATAATAATTCTTTTGGATTCAGGCAAAAGCCCTCCCCTTAAACACACACTAATCATACTAATTATAGAAAGCTTATCTACCTTCTTGCCCTCCACCCCTTACCAACTTGACAAAAACTCCAGCTCCTCATGATCCTATTTACTTCTCCTCTGGGCTCCACTCTCCCATCTGTGTCCTCAGTCTGTCTTGGCTCTGGGCTCCAGTAGAGGCACTGTGCTAACATCACTGTCTCCCTATTCTTTTTCCTTTTTTTTTGGGGGGGGGGGGGGCGGGGAGGGTCCAGACTTCATTCTATAGACCAGGCTGGCCTTGAACTCACAAAGCTCCACCTGCCTCTCTCTCCCGAGTGCTGGGATTAAAGGCACAGTCACCACCACCAGGCTTGGTCTCCCTGTTCTTGATCCCTATCCTTTCTCCGGTCAGAAGCTTGAATGAAGCACAAACCTGTGTTTCTTTCTGCTTACAATCGTTCCAAAGCCCCCACACCATCAGGATAAAACCCACAGCTGTTAGCCTGGCATTCACAACCATACTTTCTCACCTCCACACGTTCCGTTCCAGCAACAAATTTCCCTCCTTCCAGAAATAAAAAAAAAAAAAACCAACAACAAAAAAAAACTTCTCCAGTTTCCAAGAGAGGCTAAATGTCTCCTCTGAGTCCTAGAGTCCCTGCATTCCCTTTATCACAATAAGATCCCAAATCAGGGTCAAAAGGTAGCTTGGCAGTTAAGAATGCCTGATCCCCAGCACCACCGCAGGCAGCTCACAACCGCCTGTTGCTCCAGCTCTGGGGATCAGATGTCGTCTTCTGTCTTCCACCATACCTGCACTTATACGCACATACCCACACACAGATACACATAGCAATAATTAAAGATAAAATCTTTAAGAAAAAAAGAATTCTAACTCACTACATTGTAACTGTGTCTAAAGGCCATCTCTTGTATGAATTAGATGCTAAGAGCAAGTGTATGTTCATCCATGTCTCTGATACACAACTTGTACTCTTGAGCCTTCAAGAAAGACCTCATAGATTGATCTAGGAAGCAGGAAGTCTATCCTGGTTTCTAGCTACCCTGAGTGGACACAGGTTGCAGGGCCTAGGGCTGCCAGTAGAGAAACCAGATCAGGGATAATTTCCCTAACCTGAGCTAAAACTACTTGCTACTTATCCTGGCTCCTGGCCTCTTAGGCATCCTTAGCCCCTAGCTTCATCTAGTCTAGTTCTTCTTTTGTATCTTCCTCCTCCTGACCAACCCTGCCCAGCCCCAATTCCTCCCCTCCCCAACACTCTCCCACCATCCTCTGTCCCAACTCCTTTGCACTTTTTGTAATCCTCTTCCAATTCTAGAGGTGGTGGAGATTCAACTCTTAGAGGCCCTGCCTCTAATTTCTCCATGAACCCTGACCTACCTGCCTCAGCCCCAACCCTTTTGTCACTTTCCTCTCTCTGATGCTCCTCTTTTCTCCTGCTCCCTGATTCTTCCCTTACCACTATGTTATAACTGCCCTTCCCCGGGTGCTGGGATCCTGGAACTCACCCCGCAGTCAGTGGCCACCGTGTACTCAAAGTGGAACACCAGAGACCAGATGATGCAGAAGAAGAAGCCGAACAGGGGGAAAGTGATGACCCACCAGACAAAGGCTGTGAATCGGAGCCGGAACACGGTCCCATCAGGGTCCAAGGGCGCAGAGAACATCCTGTAAGGAGTGGTCCAAGCAAGGCAAGGGGCACAACTTGGGGCCTGGTAGGATACGTGGGCCTGGGAAAGGAAAGCCTTTTCCAGAGCTGGTACAAGGAAAAGCCAGAACTTAAGTGGAAGGAAGGGCAGAAAAAGAAGATAGAAGATGAGAGAGATGGGACAAGTATGGCAGAGACAGGCAGGGCAGCTCTTAGGAACCATGGCACGCTCATACTCTAGTTCCATCCTTTTTTTTTAAACCCAGTAACGTTTGTTTGTTTATTTTTTAAGATTTATTTATTTATTATAGAGACAGTGTTATGTCTACACGTACACCTGCATGCCAGAAGAAGGCAACAGATCGTATTATAGATGGCTGTGAGCCACCATATGGTTGATGGAAATTGAACTCAGGAGCTCTGGAAGAGCAGCCAGTGCCCTTAACCTCTGAGCCGTCTCTCCAGCCCTGGTTCCCCCTTTTAAAGAGCCTAGACAATAAAGGGTCTCAGGGCATGAATATTGCAACTGTGATGGCTTCACTTCACAGTCACCATCCTCACGGCAGCGGAGGAGAAGGATCGAAGTGGAAAAGTTGGCATTCCCATCACAAAGCAGGGGAGACGAGGACCCAGAACTACCAGGACAAAATGCCTGAACTAAAGCCTCTTGTTACCTAGAAGTTAAGGCTCTCAATTAAGAACCCTTGGCTCAGACCTCCCACTGACCCTGTCTGATCACATTCCTCCTTCTCACCCATGTTCAACTAGGAACATTGAGAATGTCCTACGACTCACTTCAGTAGATCTACAAATTACCAACCATTCCACCCCCAGGCTCTAAATGAGCCAAGCCGCAGGTCAGCAGCACTCTGATTCTGTGGAGGCCCAAATATCCATTCCTTTCCCCTCTATGAGGACAAGCTTATCCAATCCAAAACTTGGAGGAATGTGAGGGTCTTAAGAACCTTCTCCCTTCAGCTTCAGCTCAGTGTACTGAGTCAAACCCAGGCAGCCTCCATCCAGGTTAAATACAGACCCAGGGAGCTGGCTTTCCCACCCCTTCTTCCCTCCTGCCCGAGAAGTACCGTCTCTGACTACAGTCCCTAAAGTTCTGACCACCATGGTTCCTCCAGCTGGGCTCCCTTTTGGGGCAAGTTGAGGCAGAGGTCTGGCTTTGAATTAAAGGGCCTAGGCCCAAATCTTTCTTTGGAACCCATACGTCCTCCCATTAAGGAGGAAGCAGACCCCAGTCCACCAGAGTGGCTTTCCATCAGGAATGTCCCGGAATGGGAGGGAGATCAAGAAACACTTACACTGGGTGCCGAAGAATCCTGGGATAGGACTGAAGGCTCTAGCCAGACTGAAGCTGCTCCAGACCAGAGGGTCCCACCCCCAGGTCCTCAGGGCCTGCCCTCCGCCCACAAAGCCAAGCTCTCCATGCCTGCCCAGGCACACAGCCTTCTCAGAATCAACAAGGCCACCTCATAAATCCCGGAACACTGTGCAACTGTGAGAAGTGATAGTGACTAAGGGCAGCCCACTAGCTTCTCCGCCAGGCACGGGGGCGGACACCTTTGTAAACACTGTGTCCAGGGGACAATCAGGTTTCTAGAAAGGGAAAAGAGAAAGAAGAAGCTGCCTCTTTTTCATGAGAACATGACTGGATATGTTTTTGGACCCACAAAGAGAGCTGACTAACCCTGTGTGAGGAGAACCAAGGGGCTGGCGAGATGTCTGAAGGCTGAAAGCATTTGTCATGCAGCCTGGCGACCGAGTCAGAACCTGGAACCCGTGTGAAGGCGGAAGGAAATAAAAGACTCCACAAAGTTGTCCCCTGACTGCACACATGTGCTTGGGGCATGGACGCATGAATACATGTGCCTGCGTGTATACACACACAAAGAATGAATAAAATAGAGTCAAGTCCAAAAGAGCTCGAGACAAGCCCAGGTAGGAAGCCTCTGAGTCCAGCCCGCATCTGTACAGAAACGCGAACGGTAGCTCGGCTGCATCAACCAAAGTCTGCTAGGAAGAGGAAGGAACAGTACTCCTTGTGCCTGCATTGCCAGGCCAGCTGGCATCTAATTATCCAGATCTGGGCCCAACAAAGATAACACAGGTAAACAACTGGACAGAGTCCAAGGACCCAAGGACGTGTTTAGGGTTTTAAGGAGCCTGTAGACGCTGTCCCGGAAGGTTGCCTGCAAATTAGTGCCACACTACTCTGACAGACTTAGGGCTCTCCATCTCTGCAGGACCAAGGCCAGGGCAGGGATTCAAAAGAAAATCTATCAGCCAGGCATGGTAGTGCACGCCTTTAATCCCAGCACTTGGGAGGCTGAGACAGGTGGATCTCTGTGAGTTTGAGGCCACCCTGTTCTACAGAACAAGTTCTAGGCCAGCCAGAACTATATAATGAAACCCTGTGTCAAACCCCCCCCCCCCGCAAGAAAAAAAATCTATGCTTATTATAAAGAATAGTGTGCTCATTGTTAGTTACTAAACCTCCTTAAAGCAGGTTACCTGAAGGGAGCTCCTGCTACTTGGGATGTATAAGTAGAGGCGATGTCATTAATGGCGGATGTATGAGGCTACATTACTTATTTTCTTCCTAGGGTTGGCCCTTCCTGGGATATTCTGGATAGGAAACTCAAAGCATAAATAAAAGCTTCAACTGTATCCAACAGAAGAGCCTCAGGGAGTGGGGGTGAAGTATTCCTAGGGCCAGCAACTACCTATGTTAGTTCCCTAACTGGTATGCTAAGAGTCAGGTAGAGGGGATCAGGTGGACTGAGGTCACTGGTCCCGCTGGCCTGAGGGCCTGCAAGACAGGCAGAGCTGAGAGCCTACTCTGCTGAACCTCTGAGCTGTAAAGTCTTTCGGATTTTGTTTAGACTATCTCCCTTTCCCAGAGCACTAGGCTGAGAAGTCCTGCCCATTTACTCGACAAGCACTTTCTGACTCAGTGCAGTGCTGTTCTCACGGAGAGCCCAGTCTGCTGAGGAAGACAGATATGGAAATGGTATGAAAGAAATGTAGGCAGTCTCACCGAGAACAGTAGGCACTTAGAAGAGAGCCCAGTTGACTCAAAGAAGCTAGGCAAGGTGTTCTAGAGGAGGAGACACCTTGGAAGGGATTTTCAGGATGGACAGGAGTTAGGTAATAGGAACAGATGATGCATTATCTGCAGCACCCACGCTAAGGCAGGGAATGACCTTAGGTCCCCCAGTTTCCTAATATTACGACCCTTTAGTACACTTCCTCATGTTGTGGTGACCCCGCCCAACCATAAGTTATTTTGTTGCTACTTCATAACCATAATTTTGCTACTGTTATGACTCATAATGTAAATATCTGACTGTGTGACCCCTGTGGGGTCACAACACACACTTGAGAACCTCTAACCTAGCTCCTCTCTTTTCTCCCAGTCCTGTTCCTTCCATCTCCTTTTACTTATTTGTTGGAGGGTGGGGCTGAGATGGGTTTCACTCTTTAGCCCAGGCTGACCTTGATTTCATGTGAGTCCTCCTACCTTGGCCTCCCCACTTCTTGGATTAGAGGAATAAGCCACTATCTCCTCTTACATCTCTCATTAGACTGTGTGCCTCAATCAGGGATTATGTCTATAAATTAGAAAGAAAAATTTCAAGTCATACTGAACAAAAGAAGTGGGCTATCACCCCAGACTCCAGGCAGGCTCCTCTGCGAGACCTAGACTTCCTGGGGGGCAGATGGCCTTCCCAGGAGCGTTCGGAGGCTTCCGGGCCTTCAGCTTTCTCCAGGGCTGCCGGAGCTCCCTGTCCAGGCTCTGCCTCACCTGGGGCCCTGCCTCTTGATCTCCTGACCCACCTCCTAACCATATGATCTCTTCTCTTTCTCATCTCTTCCTCCTCCTGTTGTCCGCCCTTTGCACTCCCCAACTCATCGCCCCATGCTGTTTCTACCTGGACTGCTACACTGGCCTTGGAAAGAAGCAGGGCAGGTATCATCAACCACCCTATGGACAAAGGGACTGAAGCTCACTCTCTGGGTCTCAGGTAGCACTGTCAGTCAGTGAATGAGGAGTGTAATAGGTGTCAACACCTATTACAAGTCGCACCCCAGTCACTTTGATATTATATTGAACAACAAAACTCTCAAATCTCTTTTCATAGCTCAAGTACCCTCAGAGGACACAGGACCCACCCTAGAACACATATTCAGGCACAAACTAGGTCCCCACACAGACAGGCAGTCTCTCTCACACACATAACCCGACTTAAAGCCTTTAAATATAGGCATGCCCCTCACAATCACATACATACACAAAACTGCATTCCCACAGACACAGGCATAGGGCCTGCAGTGACACGCCGTGAGGCCTACAGTGTCCTCTCAGTCCCAGACTCCCCTCACCCTTCAGGAAACCCTGGAGCTCCTGACTCTGCTCCTCTATGAAGCAGAGTCTTCATAGAGCATGGCCTTTTCTTCCTTATTTGTTTTTAAGGCAGGGTCTCTCTAACCCCGACTGGTTTTTAAGGCAGGGTCTCTCTAGAACCCTGACTGGTTTTTAAGGCAGGGTCTCTCTAGAACCCTGACTGGCCTGAAACTCACTGTGTGGATCAGGTCTTAGAGATCTACCTGCCTCTAACTCTCAAGTGCTGTGATTAAAGACATTAAACCTCTATACCTGCCCAGGTTCTGGATTTGGGGACTGCCCAACTTTAGTGACCCCAGCTCCTAGAATGTTCATGGAAAGTAGAAGGAGCCTAATTCATGAGAGCTCAATTTACAAGCAACCCACCACCACCCAGTAGCCCAGTATAGTTGAAGGAGCCTACAGGAGAAATGGCTCATTCTGATAAGATCAAATCAGGATCTCAGAAAAGATCCAGATGGATCTTTTGAATATGAGCCACCAGTGTCCTTCAAGGCTTACTCCACAGTGTGTAGACGTTGTCTCCTTGAAGTGGAAGAGCAGGGACCACAGGATGCAGAAGAAGAAGGCGACAAGTGGACAGCAGACTGTGATCACAGCCACCACAGTGAAGCGGAGGCGGACTAGGGTCCCATCCCGGTCCAGTGTCAGTGGGACCTGGTACATCCTGTCAGACCTGAGGACGGAAGGTAGGATGTCAGGCCTCAGGCAGCAGGCCGAGGGCTCACGGTAATGCTAGCACTCGTGCTTGATCTAAACCTCAGGGCTAGGGAGTCTGAGGAGACTCCTAAACCTTGACAGTTCATGCCCCAGATGAGAAAGACTCAGAATCCCAAGGCAACACTCAATTTCAGTTTCAGGGAAGACAATGACTTCCATCTATACTGACCTAAAGCCTCAAACAGACTGGATGACCTTCTTCTCAACCCTGTCTGCCTAGACAGGCCTTGCACTGCAGTAGTTGGGTTATTTGGTCTCTCACCTGGTGAACAGACTGGCTTGTGCCCACCCACCCACCCCACCCACCCAAGCCTCTGCCCCAGCCTCCTGGTTCAGGGCCTATCAATTCTATGCTTCACTCACCAGAGCAGGGCTCTGCTGCACCTTCAGGCCCTTCCAGACTCTGGCGAGCCGTGTGCGGGCACAGCAATCCAGCACAGCAGGCACTCTATGGAAGCTCACAGAACCCCCATCCCATGATTGTCCCTGCCTGCAGCCTCACATGCTCTAAGGGTGAAAGGCTTTGCAGAATCAGGCCTGGTGATAGCCTGGGTTTGCTGGGTGCAGGTCAGAGCCGCTTGGTCAGCTTCTGGTGGTTTCTCAGTACCCAGTGCCTCCTGAGATGAGGTGAAGGCTTTTGTAAACTGATTTTTCCCTCAGACAAGAGTTTTTGCCATGCAGTGGAGGCATATGCCTTTAATCTCAGCACTTGGGTGGCAGAGGCAGGTGGAGCTCTGTGAGTTTGAGGCCAGCCTGGTCTAGAGAGAGTTCTAGGATAGCCAGGGATACACAGAAAAACCCTGTCTAAAGAAACCAGAGAGAGACAGAGGGATTCTAAGTCAGGTACTATAATAGCTAAGGACACTACCAACCCTAGCCCAACCCCTCTCAGTGTATAGAAGGGAAGCTAAAACAGAACTCTACTCAGAATCAGCAGCAAGAAAATGTAGGGAGCTGGGTGTGGTGGCACATGCCTTTAATCCCAGCACTTGGGGGCCAGGGGCAGGAAAATCACAGCCTGGTCTACAGAGGGAGTCCAGGACAGCCAAGGCTACACAGAGAAACCCTGTCTCAAAAAACCAAAAAAGATAAAGAGAAAGAAAGAAAGAAGGAAAGAAAGAAAGAAAGAAAGAAAGAAAGAAAGAAAGAAAGAAAGAAAGAAAGAGAGAGAAAGAAAGAAAGGCAATGTAGGATCCACACAGAGCCACATATTTCAATTCTGATTCTTTGTTTGTTTGTTTTTTGAGACAGGGCTTCTCTGTGTAGCCCTGGCTGTCCTAGAACTCACTCTGTAGAACAAGCTGGCCTCAAACTCACAGAACTCCACTTGTCTCTGCCTCCCAAGTCCCAGGATCAAAGGTGTGTGCCACCACTGCCCGGCTCAACTCTGATTTCTTAATCCCTTTCTCTCTGAACCAAAACCTCTAGACAGGAAAGTCAGACTTGGACTGGAGTGAGCAAAGGAGAAAACAAAACAAATACTACATATCTATACAAGATGAGCTAATCTGCCTGTTCCCATTGTAAAGATGGAGAAACCATGATGAGAGAGTCTCTTCCTCAAAGCTGAGTCTGGGGAACAGTCATTCCAGACTTTAGGTTTCTTGATGCCAAGCTATAGCTGGCTCCAGGTACATAAAAACCGGCCCTTCTGGTCTCAAGCCATAACTCTTTCTGGCCCCACCCTTAACTGATCTCAGCCTGGCCTCCTAGCATTCCAGAAACAGGTGGACACATCTCCTCATTTTCATCTTCTTTTCCATCTACCTCTCTGCCAGGCCAGATTGGGCAGCCCAACCCAAGTTCTCAAGTCCTTCTCTCCTTTTGGGCATTCCCTGGATAAGGCTCTAGATGAGAGCACCGTTTCCACCCAGCCCACACCTAGACTCTATCGAAGTTGATTTAACCCAATCCTCCCCCTGACACCCCCTCCCCAAGCCAGCTGCCCCTTATCCCCCAGGAGCACCAGACTCCTCTAACCAGATCTTCAGGTTTCAACAGACCTTACCCCAGGTAGGGAAGAGGAGGTGGTTCAAGGACAGTGTCAGAAACAACCAGAAAGGATGGCTGGGTCCACTTCTTGGCAGTGTGCCTGGCCTCCCTTTCAGGTGTGTGACCGTGGACAAGTCACCTAACCATCCTGGGCCTGTTTCAAAGTGTACAAGAGAAGAAAATCAGCACTTGGGAGGCAGAGGCAGGTAGATCTCTGTGAGTTAGAGGCCAGCCTGGTCTATACATTGAGTTCAGGACAGAGAGAAATCTTGTCTCAAAAAACAAAAAGGGGGGGTGAGGGGAGAGGGAGTGAGAGACAGAGAAGAAAGGGAAAAAGAGAAGGAAATCACATGGTTTAGATTACTTCCAGGGCGCCTCCAATTTGGTGACCTCTCCGTGTCTCAGTTTTCGGAGCTCACCACCTTAAGTTCTGCTCCCAGACGGCTTTAACTTCTTCACTGGTACGACTTAGTTGGTTGTGTTTTATTTTAGTTTGTGTGTGCGCAAGCGCTTGCACAGAAAGGCTCTTTTCTGTATCCCGGCTGTCTGGAAACTCCCAATCTTTTTGCCCCTGCCTCCCTGTTGCTGGGATTACAGGCACCACACGGGCTCTGAAAACTGCTTTTGTAGGAGTACCCTCACTTCATATCCAAAGTCCCTAAAGATGTCACTACCACACTCCGGTCAAAATCTACATTCTGAGCTCAGTACTGAATGTACAGTATCTCTCCCAGTCCGGTTTATTTTAGGAGTAGGTGCTGTCGTCCGGGTTCCCATTTCACAGAGGAGGAAACTAAGTAGCAGGGCGGTTAAAAACACTTACTGGAAGCCACAGGCTAGTCCCTGGCAGCGCTGGAATTCAAAACTAGTGTATGAGGTTCCAAAGCTCCCCGAGCCTCCATCCGCAGCGCCCGAGGGGATCTTGAGCAGAAGGCCCTGCGGAGGAGAGGAGGCAGAGCTTAATGCCGGCACACCTGGCCCTGTCACCGCGCAGGCAGAGGCGGGAGGCCGGCCCGGCGTCTACGCTGCAGTTCCCGGGTTCCGAGTGTGCTCAGGGCGGGCGGGCACACGGACTGCAGGCCTTCGGCAGCCAGACCTCGTGGAGGGGCGCCCGAGCCGGCAATCCCCTTACTCACCCGGGAGGTGGAGGCTAGGGGGCCGCGTCCCACAGGCAGGGGCGCGGAAACGGACCCCCGCCCGGCCCGGGGGCTAGGGGGAGGGGGCGGGTCGCGGCAGCAGCGGCGCGAGGCGGTGCCGGCGCGGCGGGGCGGGTCTTAGAGAGGAAACCGAGACCCAGTCTACGCACTGGCTCCTCCCTGTTTTCGGACCGCGACCCCTGGCTCTCCTGCTCGGCTCTCCTCCCTAGGTCGGCTCTGCCCCACTATTTCTGGCTGCGTGAGAGCAGCCAGAAGGGCCCTGGACACCAGGCTTTAACACACTGGACCAGTCACCTTGTATCTTACCTCTGGCCGTCACCTGTTGAAAGAACATAACATTCAGTGGGCTCAGATTTCTTTCACTTCCTGACCCGGTTCTCCAGGCTTCCACCCTCTAATCGAATTCTCCAGCTTTGCACTTCTTAAACATTAAGCCAATCTTGCCCCAGCCTTGGCTCTTTTCCCTCAAACTTTGCTCCCTATGGCCGTTCTACAGCATCCAACGAAAGGAGCTGAAAAAATAAAATAAAATAAACCAAAACCACCTTGGAGGTAGTGAGATCCTCTGAGCCCTCCCCAGAAACGCTGGGCAAAGCTGTTTCCACCTTGTATCAGAAGAGGGCGCCCTACCCTGTCCGCCGTCGCTGGTAAGGGATGGGGGGGGGGCGCGGGGTCTGCCGACCCAGAAACCAGGCCCAGCGTCCTTTTCCCACTTGGGCCTAGCCCAGACTGATCCATAAAGAGGGACCTCTTGGAAAAGACGTTCCCACCCAAACAAGGCAGGAGAGCGAGGGGACCGGTACACATCTTGGGTAGCGCCGGGACCACCTGCGGCAGATTCAGGGCTCTGAGCCAGTCACCACTGCTGAAAACCTGCTGAAATTCTCACATTTCTACTCTGCATGTGTTAACTCATTAATCCTCATAAAAATAAGGTGAACCCCCTTTTTTTTTAATTTTTGTTTTGTAAAGACTGAGACTCCTATGGCTTGCTCAGTGAGACCTCTGGGTGGATGAGCTGGCTCAGTGGTTAACAGCGCTTGCCACAAGCCTGGCAACATGAGTGCAAACCTTGGAAACCACAGTGGAAGGAGAGAACTGACTCCTGCAGGGTGTCCTCTTATCTCCACCAGCACTCCCACATCACAAAGGAAAAAAATAGTACCTTCCTCCCCACAAAAAAGTAGGCAAGACTCTCATGTAGCCCAGACTGGCCTCAAACCTGCTAAGTAGCCATGGATGACTTTGAACTTCTGATTCTTTCTGAGGGTAGGACAAGTGGTGTATTACCAACCCATGGGGTATGGATGGGTTATGGGTTATGGAATCAAGCTTGGTGTATGCTGGGCAAGCACTCTACCCACTAAGCTACCTCCCTCAGCAACATAGAAACAATATCCCTACTTTACCAGATGGAAAACAGACAAGGCACACTAATTACTCATGTGTCAGAAGCCATGCCAATAATAACTATAGAGCAATCCCATAGAACAGCTATAACCACCACTGGAGAATGGGAACCAGAGGTTCAAAAATGCTAACCTGTAAGAGCTCTTTTTCATGTATTTGGTCTTCTTAGTCCACTCAGCCTAGGTCCTGTCTAGGTCCTCACCCTAGGTACTGGGCTGAGCAATGATGGGGGCTGATCCAGAGAAATTCATCTCAGACCTACTCTTTGCGGCTCCAAGTCTAGAGAAAAGGTGTATTACTGGGGGAAAAAAAACTATTTTTCTTTTCCTTTCTTTCAATATTAATCATTTCTATCTTAGACAGCATTGGCTGTCCTGGAACTTGCTCTAGTTCCAGGCTAGCCTCAAACTCACAGAGATCTGCCTTATTCTTCTCCTGAGTGCTGGGATTAAAGGCCTGCTCTCCCCACCTGGCCAATTGTATTGAGGGCCTGGTCCATGTGTGGAGATCACAGGACATTCTTAGACAGTCAGTTCTCTTCTATCACAACACGGGTCCTGGGATCAAACTCAGACTGTAAGCTCGTCAGCATGTGCCATTAACCCACTGAACCATCTCGCCTGCCCCTTTCTTTTTTGAAAACAGGGTTTCAGGCAGTCTTTGAACTCACTGTGTAGCCCAGAATAGCCTTGATCTCAAGGTAAGTGTTTGTGGATTACAGGTATACACCACCAAACTCACCAAAGCCACAAAATATTATTTTTGACTGTGTACATGAAGTGCACGGTGAGCGTGTGACTGTGTGTCCTGCATATGTCATGGCCTGTCTGTGGAGGTCAGAGCAAAACTTTCAGGGGCAGTTCTCTCTTGTTTTGTTCCATCCACTGATAAAACTCAGGTTATTAGGCTTCCACAGCAAATGTTTTTGCCAGTTCATGGGCCCCAAAAGGTACTTTTCTTGACTGAATTATTTACCATTTTCTTAAGGTTTCCAGAACAAATAGACGAGTAGAAATTTTACTAAAATGACCATGTCTACCCAGTCTCAGCAACTAAAATTGTGTTTCCTGTATGGAGGCTTCATGTCTTCTGTCCAGCTCCACCTCAGAGGTGCCTAATCCTTTCTCTTGTTCCCTATTTTGGCTCCTTAACTGTTCCTGTAGCCCTAAATATTGGACCCTGAGGATGGGTCTTTCGGTCTCTAACCTATTACCAATGTCTGGCTTGAGGCCAGGTCTGATCTCATACTGGACCCTCTTGGGACCTGTACAGCGTGAATCATTCACCTCGAAGTTTTACGTCTGTTGCTTTGTAAAATGGCTGAAGGGATATCTGCATCACATGATGTGAGACATGAATTCATGCAGGCGAGTGGAAGGTGCCCGAGATATGAAGGCTGTTACAGCCAGACACGCAAGCTACTGTTGGAATGCACTCTACACCTTTTCTGACCTCAGGGTCAGCGACCCTCTCTGGGCATATCTCTGTCCATTCAATTCTTGTAAGGAAAAGCAGAAGAGCGAGTTCTTACAAAGTGCCAACTTTGCCAGTTGACCCTCTTAATAACATGACAGATAAGATTGGCGAACTCCACCATACAGATGAGGAAGGGGATTTAACAGGCGTGGTGGCACAGGCCTGTAATTTCAACACTAGGGAGTTAGAACATGAGGACTAGGAGCTCAAGGTCACCCTCGGTTACATAGCAAATTTAAAACTAGTATTGACTGTGCCTCAAAAAGGAAAAAGGGAAGGGGGAAGGGAATGTATGTGGCAAGATGGCAGGGTACTTGCTGTCAAATGTGATAACCTCAGCCTTTATAGGGGAAGGGGCACATGCGCGCGCACACACACACACACACACACAC